CAACAGGGACACCGGCCCTCAAGGACTGGAGTTTGAGACCCCTGCAATAGGGTGAGTCACAACAATCTGAGTTTCCAGCTCTTATACACAATCTTGTCATTGCACTGTCTTTGTAAATACTGGCACTTCTTTTTCTGCCATAATCCAGTTTGCACTGGCACAGTGTGTTAGTAAATAGAGTCAATCAACTCAGAGTGGATGAAGTTGTTTCATGAAACAGAGCCCAGGATAGCCTCTTACATGCTTCAATATGAACATTGTGAGCATTTGTGTGTTTGATGTCAGTTCATTGGTCAGTTTTCCCACCCTCTTTGCCACTAAAAATACCTATGCTGCAAAACAGGAACAGAGACAAGTAATAGACAATTTCTATCACTGGGTAGACTGACCTGAGGAGACTTTCCGCCTGAAATAGACCTGTCCCGTTAGGATCTCCTCGTCATGTTCAAAGGGGATGTCTCCACACACCATGTCATACAGCAGCACACCGAGTGACCAGACGGTGGCTGGTCGCCCATGGTATCGATGGAATCGGATCCACTCTGGAGGACTGTACACTCGTGTCCCTGCAGGGAGGACAAATACAGAGAAGCATCAGGCATTTTAAAGCCAACTCCTGGCTGCCTATAGAGTCAGGAACATCTCCTCCTCATCAATGAAGGCAACTTTCTGAGCATAATGATCCATCTCTAAATGGTAATTTTGTGTGTGTGTGAGTGGGGGATGTGTGGGTGGGAGCACAAAATAGTGACAGACACAAAAACAGTGACAGATAATGGGACATTTGGACTCACCATCAAACTCTGTGTAGACAGTGTCTTTAAGAACAGCCCCTGAGCCAAAGTCGATGAGTTTGACCTGTTCGGTCCTCAGGTCCACCAGCAGGTTCTCGTCCTTAATATCACGGTGGACAACGTCACAGGCATAGCAGTGACGTATGGCCTCCAGTACCTGCAGGAAGAAGCCACGTGCTGCCTCCTCATTAAGAGCGCCACGCTCTGTGATGTAATCAAACAGGTCCTGACATGGCTTGGGGTGCTCCATCGCTATAAACCAGCCATTCGCCTGCTCCCACCAATCCAAGAGCTGCACCACGCCAGCAAAGGTCCCACTCACTTTCTTCAGCAGCACAATCTCTAAAGGAACTAAAGCTCCGCACTGAGAGAGCAATTTAAATAATCAGGATGTTGTCCTTTAAATTACATCATGTTAAATACAGATAAAAGTATGCAAAGAAGAGAAAGACGATCATGTAGGTTTTTATGAAGAATGGCACATGAGGACCAACAGGTTGCTGGAAATCCAAACAAATCTAAAAACAAGGAACTAAGGTGTTTGGGGTGTTTTGCTTGGTAAAAAATTTATGATTATAAAGACAAGATATACTTTATTTGTCCTGACAGTTGTGATGTTCCTTTGTTACAGCAGTTTATAAAGTTAAGGTAAACAAAACCTATATCCTGATTTTTAAATCATTTAATGCATTCATGCAACAAGCACCTCATCCTACAAAAGCACACTCACTCTGACAGTGGCTTTTTTGTCTAATCATAACCAGTCATGCATCTATACCAAAACATGCAAAGAACACAAGGAAACTGAGGGCACAGTAAGAAGCTTCATGGGCCATACATAGCGGCAGTAGAAAGTTAGACTTAGTTATTGTCCAGACATATTCATTTTATTCATCTATTTGTGAACATGAAAGATAATTTCACATAGTAATAGAAGCTGAAGTGGTAAGAAAACAGGTAGTAAGGCAATTAAAACTGTTAGTAAAAATGCAGGCAGCCCTTACCAGAGAACCCCACTCAGTCACCCGATCCTTGCTCACATGTTTCACTGCCACCTACATGTAAATAAACACCATCAAAATATTATAAACGCATCCTCAGAATAAAACTGAATAAATTCTCTTTCTATACTAAAATACAAACCATCATACAGCAGCTTTAGGGTAGATCTGTGCATGCTGATAATATGAATCTTTTGGTCTAATAATGTTGTTCCTGATTTATGAAATAACTTTATTTTCCCACCGTGTTTAAAATCACTATTATTGTCAAATTCCTACTTCCAATAAGTAAAGATTATTTAGCAGAAGGTACGGAGAGTAAAGCATTTTTGTTTAATAACCGGCTTTCTTTGTGACAACAAAGACAAGAGCCAGGCATGCCAGCACTGAGTCAAGCTGCACAGCTGATAGCAGTAAAAGAGGAAGTAAGAGTGACAGATGTGGGTTTCAAATAAAAGCAGCATCTGAAAAAGTTTTTTTTCTTCCAAACTGACAAAATGAAACGGAATTTTCAATTTTTTGTTAATTACATAATAAAATGATTATAGATAAAATTACAGCTATGGAAAATTGTAATGATAATTTAGGTGAGAAGCCAATACTTTTAACAGACTAAGGAGATGCTGTAATTGAAAACAACAATTTAAAAAAACAAAAAAAACAAAGCCTAGATTAAGTGAATTCATACGAATGTGACACATTTACTGGAGAAAACAACAAGATTTAAGTTCAGAGCAAACTACAAGTCATGTAGACACTGGTCTTAAATAAAGCAATGCCTCTTCATGCTGGCTGTTGAAAGACTGGACCAAATTAACAAAGACTGAAAAAATAATGACTGTATATTAATTCATTATTTCAATTCAATTAATTCGTATTTGAGATAATTGTTTTCATTTAGTCTCAAATTCAGTCTTCCTTTTTAATGCAAGAACCTTGAGGCCTAATACAAAATATTTAAGTAGGATTGTCAGTTATTGTTTTTAAACTCGAACATTCAAGTACGGCTTGATTTTGAAGGGTCAAACAGGAAACTAGCTGTCTGCTACAAGGCATCTTGACAATGAGAGTTGGCCATGTGCTGCGACCAAAACAAAGCCGCCCCTCGGCTCTTACCGGCAAACCATCAGCGAGGCGAACAGCCGAGTAAACGGTACCGAATCCCCCACTGCCGAGAACCGGACCCAGCCGGTACTGCTTCTCAAGCGACTGCTTCTCTGCGTTGGCTGCAGAGCACAGGGAAGAAAAGTCAGGGCTAATCAAAGTCATGTCAACTTTGCAAATAAACCCCAACATAGTACGTCCTGCGATTAGAACTGCGTGTAATCGTCGACACAAACGTACACATCACCGAATACACTTGCAACGTTTAAAGCAAAGACAAAAACTCACTTTACGTTATACAAGACACCTAGATGTCAAAATGGTCCCGTCCTTGGCCTGAAAATGTCCTAATTTAACAATGAGCGCGATGTATTCGGCAGATATATGAAACTTTAAGTGGTTTAAGTCCCTCCGATTGGGGTCAAGGTGTCCTAGCTCCATTCAGGCTGAGTTGATTTCAATACTTAAAAAAATAAAAAAAAAATTCATTTAGTTTAGTCACATGTTAGCTAAATTAATAACTAAGTCCAGAAAAATCTGTATTTTGTATCAGATGACCCAGATTTTCCAACCCGGTTCGAAATTCCGGCTTCGAATAATCCATTTCTAATTAAGACTTGAAGCGTGGCGGGTAAAATAAAGTGACGTGAAATGGACACAGCTGCAAAGTCGAGGCTGTTACCTTGCTGGAGCTTCACCGGTAGGTCCATGCTGAACGACATGTGTGAGAGGGTGCCCAGTTTAGAGAGCAGCATGCTGCTCCTGACTTCTCCCGAATAATTCAACCGCACCGAGAAATTATTAGCGCTATATATCCTCAGAAAAAAAATAGTCCTCGGCTCTTCTCACGGGAGAGATAAACATAATAACCTAAAATCCATTCCGGATGTGGTCCACAGAGCGCAAACCCCGAAGTCCGAGGTTGCTCCGCTATAACGCTGCTGCCAGTATATACAAGAAAATCCTTCCGCCTGACCCCCGCTGACACACCAAATTGTACCACAAAGCTTGCTACATTAAAACTACACGAACACGCTTAAATTAAAAAAAAAGTGCCCCATGCTGTACCAGTTTTAGGTATATGTGAAGTCATTTGCTTGAAAATGTAGTCGTAATTCAATGAGAAACCCACGGCCTAGTTTATTCTTTACGCGACTAGTGCAGGAATTCGGAGACGGTCACTCGGAAGTGCTGCAGCACACGAAAACGAAAAAGCTCTTCCCCCAACAATAAATGAATGAATAAATAAATAATATTAAAATGCAATAATTTTAATATTTGAATTAAAATGATATTATTGTTTATGGTAATAAGGTTGGTTGGACAATGAGAAAAAGTTAATGTGATGTCGTTTTTGTTTTGTTTTTTTCCAAATCATTCGCTAAAGACTGGTAATGGAGATGATTTGCTATTGGAAGCTCCAGTTATTCATATGTTACTTTTTGGGTCAATGTGAAGATTTAATTTTGTTGTACCATTGATTGTCCATGTTATGTATAGACCATCAAGACCACTGTTGTTAAATACCATAAAGTAGCAATTTTAAGTTATAAAAGTATTGTACTAAAAAAAGATTTCTTAAGGCATATTTGTTTTGCAAATGTAAGCAAATGTAAATTTGGGGCAAACTGATTTTTTGATTTTTGTATCAGCAACAACCACTAACCCTGTATTCACCCCTTCCAGTCCTGTCCACTACATGAATGTGACCCCGATCATTTGTTCTCTGCTATATTTAGCTGCTTCTATTTTAAAGCCTGTGCAATAACTGATCCACTCTAAAGAGTGAATCACTGCTCTTGAGCTCTACTCCAAGAGTTTTGGAAATGCTTTAACATCTTGTGTAATTTTTACAGAAGATATTTGTTACTGCCAGCAAGTTATAATGTCAGTGTACAATGGAGAATCAGAGGACAGTGACAGCTTCAATGGTGCAGACTGTGAAAGGTATGTACCATGTGCTGGCTCTGGTCTCGTCTCGGCTAAACTAACTATCGTGGTTGGAGACAGACAGTTCTCTGAGGAGAAAATGTTACTGGTGCAGAGCTGTGACTATTTTCAAGCTCTGTATCGCTCCGGTATGAAGGAATGTCAGCAGGAAGAAATCCACCTCAAGTCTCTGCGAGCTCAAGGATTCCTTTTAGCTTTAGCAGTTTTACATGGAGAGAAGCCAATTCTGGATGAGGACGACATTGTGGAAGCCATTGAATGTGCAGCTTTCTTGCAGGTGCCCCCACTTACTAGGCATCTTATTGACCTTCTTGATGCAGAAAACTGTCTGCTGATGTATCACACCTCTGCAGTCTTTGGACTTATGGATCTGTACCATGCAGCAGCACTGTTCATTCGAGACATGTACACTGACCTTGAGGTAGAGGTCAAGAAAACCTTACCATTAGAGCTTATCTCTTATGTGGAGTCTTTGACCCCCCATGTTTTCATGGCTGTAGGAGCCCATGTGACTTGTGGTTTGGATGAAACTGTACATGCTGCCTCAAGGACCATCTGCTACCTCAATGAAACTGGCAATACTTGGAAAGTGTTAACAGATCTTCCACTAGAGGCCAGCACCTCAATGGCTGGAGTGACTGTTTTAGACAACAAACTGTTCATAATTGGTGGCATTCATGGCATCCATAAACAAGTTGTGGAATCTTGTTTCTGCTACAGTGTTGAAAGCAACAGCTGGAGCAGGATTCCCAGCCCAGCACAGCTGCGTTACAATCTTAGCCTTATGGGTCTCCATGGTCATTTATATGCCATAGGAGGGGAGTATGAGCGAACAGTAATGTCGTCTGTGGAAATATACAATGTAAAAAACAGAACGTGGACATTTGCTGCTAATCTACCTCGGCCGGCAGCAGGAGCAGCTTGCACCAAAACCATGAGCAGAATATTTGTGTGTTTATGGAGGCCAATGGAGACCACTGAGATCTACGAGTATGCATCTGGGGAAAATGAGTGGCATCTAGTTACCACACTGATCAGGCACCAAAGCTATGGTCACTGCATGGTGGGCCACAGGGACAACCTCTTCATCATAAGAAATGGCCCATCTGATGACTTCCTAAGATGCCTCGTAGACTGTTATAATCTGAGCTTGGGCCAGTGGTCAACCCTGCCTGGACACTTCGCCAATAGTAAAGGTTCACTATTCACTGCTGTTGTAAGAGGGGACTCTGTGTTTACACTGAACAGAAGCATGACTCTAGAATACATAGTGGAAGGTAAAACCTGGAAGCCTAGGCGGCAGATGAAGGGTTTCCCAAGAAGTGGATCTGTGTGGACATTTCTGCTTCAGCTGCCAAAAGCTCTCAGCCTGCAGTAGTGGTACTGTCTGCTTTTTGGATTATCAGTATTATTTAAATTAAACTCAGATGGGGTTTTGTTTGTTTTTTGTTTATTACAGCAATATTACTATTTTTAATCCTGATGCATGCTCAATCATCCAGGTAAGTGAATAAAAGAAAGTTGATTCTGTTCATCTGGATGTAGTGTTTTCCTTGGGAGAAACGTTTCATCACGTATTTTAGTGACTTTTTCATTCTCAGCTGACCATAGCTTACCCCAGCCTTATAAACAGCACATTTGCATAATGACTGAAACTAGCACCACTGACTGACAACAGACCCTGAGGTCAGTTTCATCATCGTTAAGATGAAAATTGTCATCATCAATGATCAATGGAAGTTGACTATCATTCCCAGAGAGTTGGGGAATGGCTGCTATCCCAGTACTGTAAGAGTGATCGATTAATCATACTTTATTCACCCCGAGGGAAATTGGGTTAAGATGTAAGATGTACACTTAGGCCCCCTCCTCAATTCAGAGATTTATAGAGATAATTTTCCCAAAGGGTCACATGAAGAAAGAGACTGGGACTGAGCCAATAAAATGAACTCAGTTTTGCTCAGTAGTGATTTTATCTCTTTATGAAGTGCTACTGGTAAGAGTACATGTTTAGAAAATGGAAATGTGAAACAAGCATAGTAAAAATGATAACATTTTATTATCAGCATTACCCACAACAACTGAACAAAATGT